AATAACGTCTTTATTTACATCATTAGAAATAAACATTTTATTCAATATTTTTATAGCAATAAATGGCTATAAATATATACGGATGTCATTTATGGACATAATTTAAAGCCCAAACAAACCACACCTCTGACCATATGGTGTGCGTAACGCCATCTCCAGCAGTCGAGTGCACACATGTATGCATTTGCAGTGCGAGTGCGGGTGTAGTGCAGGTGCAGTGACTCTGAGCGGCGCTGTGTGTGATGTGAGGGTTGGGTTGTGTGGGAGGAGTAGTGGGCGTGTGTTGTGTGGCCTATGATTATGTGTTGAAGTGGTGAACAGTCTGTGAGCCATAACAACAGAGCCCTCATAACGAAAGAAAGAGCTGAGTGTGGACTGCGATGATTGGCCACAACTCTCACAGCGTTCACAGCATTCACTCCTCAATACTATCGCTGCGTTTAGTCGTCAATGGCTTTTGCTTTCATTGAAGTCTTCGCCACTGTTTTTGTCCAAACATTTGAACGCCATTTCAATCACTGATTGTTTGCAATCAATTCAATTGATTCACACAATTCACGAAAGCGGAGAAAGAGTTTTTGTCACCGAAAAGAGCAGTCAATCCATTGAGTAGTAGAGAGAGAGGGAAGAGAAGCAAACAATTGGACGTAAGTCTCATTCAATACACTAAAAGCCATAGTTTTGCGTCATTTCATTGATTCGCTCTTTAAATGCAAATTTCAATTGATTGTCATTTTTGTGGTTTTAATTGTTTTTACGAATCAATTAATTTACTGAACGTATCGTAAGCTAAGCTCTCGTGTGAGTGAAGCGATTGTATGGATGTGTTGAGCCATTGATGGCCCAAAAGCTGAACCAAATGTTGAGATAATTTGTTTGATATATATTTCGCTACCATTTTGTGTGCATTCAATCCCTTTCAAGGTTTTGACTCTTTTTACGAATATTTTCTGATTTTTTTGCACATTTAGTTAATTATTGAATATTAAGTGAATTGTATTTTATTTACTGTTAATTACGACCGATATTTAGTCAATAAATTGGGTCTCATTTTAATTGCAGACAATTTACAAATGGATTGAGTATTGATTGCATTCACTCTTAATGTGTTTAGTGTTGAGTCCATTCATTATTATTATATATCATATGTTTATTTAAATTGCGTTTACTTTACAATCATTTTGTTAATTAATTAAATGTACTTTTTATGCCTTTATATTTAAAATACGTTTCAACACTAATGGCATATAATTGATACTAATTGTGACAAAAGGCACAAATGGTTGCCATTTCTTTGTTTTCTTATAGTTGTTAATCAATTTGTTGTTAATTGAATACAAACCATATTTTAAACCATGTTTAAGTTATTAATTGTTGGTATATTTAATAACTTATTGTACGTCTCCTTAAGTATACACTGTTTACATATGAGTGGAAAATAATATCATTTATCGATTATTTTTTCCTATAATTAGTGTATAGAAAGCGAAATTAAAATTGATTTTCTATTAGATTTAGATAAACATTGAATTGTAGAGTGAAAGCAAACAATTGATTTCAACGATAATGTGTTGACTTGATTTGAATTTTTGTTTTTTCTCTAAGATTACATAATCTCTCACTCCTTTCCCAACACAATGACTGTGTTTTGAATGCATTTTTACTGCAAAACTATTATTTCCTTTAAATTAAGTTCAGCGCAAGGTTTAACTCATTTGATTTTTAAGCCACAAAAACCATTTGTTAAATATTTTTACTAAAAACCCAATCTCATTGCTTATTACGGATTGATTTGCGTTTTTTAATCAATGATTAATTCATTAAAATTCATTAATTAATTAAAACGGCGTTTCATTTGTTAATTAAATGTTTTAATGTATAACACGATTGTGTAAATCGATTACAATGTTATGGTTTATATTGAATTCAATACATATGATATGATATGTAATTTAAAGTTAAAATAGTTAACCAAAAAATAGATGACAAAATATAGGTCAAGAAGTTTTG